TTCACTTGCAATTCCTTTCTAATTGCCTTTTTGAGACTTGAGACAGTTTTGTTTACAGCTCAAGTTTAAACTGTCCAATTTACAAGTTTGCACTTAAAACCTGTTGTTTAAGGTGAAGAGAAAAAATAAAGTACATTTGTATTTTGTAACACATTTTCATTATTTAAGAGCAGATTGAATTGAATTGAATTGAATTGAATCGAAACAAATCGAATCGTGATTAATCGATTCAGAACCTTATTAATCGAAATTGAATCGATTTAGGAAATTGGCCACGATACGCAGCCCTACTCAAGGTAGACTGGGCCTTCACCCTCCTAAATAGACGTGTGGCCTTTTGGTAACACAGACAAAGTTAGTCCTTGTGTGTGTGATATATATACCCTCTGTAATCTTTCTGTCTTGTCGCATGTTGAGTGTGGTTGTGTCAGATGTCTATCGCTGTCTCTGCTCCGAGCAGATGCCCACATTGAAACTTTGCAGCGGGTGGGGAGACAGAGAGAGTTGACGATGGCAGCACTGTGTATAAAAACTTTGTGAATAAAAACAGCTGTGTGACAGCTGACGGTAAACAAAAGATCTGATCAATAAAGGTCAATAGAGCCGATATGATGCCTTGATCGGCACAGATACCGATCGTTGAGATCGTCGAGACATCCTAGTGTTTAAAGGTGCCGATCGCTACAGTTCAGTTTAGTACAGGATGTTCGGTTTAGTATGTGACTTCCTCGGTTTGGTACACCCTGAGTCCGAAACAATTACAATACATTTTTATTTCATTTTTACAACATATTTATCAATAGAATTCCAGTTTAACCTATAACTGTGAAGTAGACAGAGGCTCATGGGTGATGTTGACTGATGTTGGTTTGTGTGCTGGTGTTACCTGGAAAACATGTTTGCAGGTGTTCAGTTAGGGCCTCCTGAGTCACAGGCTTATGGGCAGAGTTCATAGCAGAGATAGCCAATAGCAATACCTCTCCCAAAGGGATGAACTGCGATTGGCTGATGGGTGACATACTGATGGGTGACACATCACCTGTGAAAAGACAGAAATCAGTCACTATGATTAAAATCTTTCAATCTATGACCAGAACCTGTATGACAATATGAACACAGTGCAGTCTTATGTCTCTAGCTTTCAGAAACAACAATAAAATCACATGCTGTCCTGGGCTTTGACCTTTGTTGCATGTCATTCCCCATCTCTCTCTTTCCTCATTTACTGTTATATAGTATAGTACAAGTGCTGAATAATGTTGTCTGTTTTTCTTCAGGACATTTGAACATAAATATGAACATGCCTGGTGCCTGGGCAAAAACTAATAAAAAAAGCATGATATATAATGAGACCTTCGTCTCCAGTCCAGTGTCCACCCTTGGCCACAATATGGGGGTTTTCTCCAGGCTTCAGGGACCTCCACACATGGCACAGCATTGTTTGCCAGGAGCACAGTGCTTTTTTATTGACAATTTTATGGGAGCGCTATCACTCTTTTAAGCATGATGGCATCCATCCAATTTTCGAGGATCACATCTGCTCTCTTCAAACATTAACCACACCATATTGCACCACATGAACAATCAGCATGTCTGGAATCATCATCCACCTCCTTACATGATTGACTGACCTTACATGAGCCGGGTAAACTCTCCACCAGTATCATTCATAGCACTACTAGCTCCCCCTGCAGTAAGCCTAAGTATAGTGACATCTCAAGCTCCTATTCAATAATTAAGGCCTGAGCAGTTTCAACAATGAGGGATCGTATTTTTGGCGGCCGCAACATGCTCCAAAAGTCATTAAACTTGTATCACACATGTGTGGAAAAATGGCTAGTGGCTGGCTAATGGCTAGCTCTTTTTTTTGTAGATAGTTTTAACTAATGTCAACTGTTGACAAAGTGCCCCACTAAAACTTCTAAACCGACACTTCCCTGGTAAAAACAGATCAACAGAATAGAACCGTATACAGATCAAACTAGTGCCAGCATAAAATGGGAGGCATTCCAAGCATATATTTGAGAAGAATTCATCCGCTATACAAGCCAAAATAGCCACAAAAAATACAAATCAAACTTGGGAAAAACAAAGTAAATCTTTAGCGATATATCGAAATGAAAGGGAACACCCAACAAAACAAAAAGATGTCACTTTTGGAGCCAAATATGATTTATCTGCTGAGAAAGCTAGAAAACGTTTAATGTTGCTGAAACTTCTTACAATTACAATCGAGGAAAAAAAGCTGGGAAACTTCTGACATGGAGAATTTCTCTGATATAGCCATTAATAGGATAATAACTTTTTCAGGAAGCCTTACAGTTAGGGGGGTAAGAAAATCGTATTGGGATAGATTCTCAAAAACACTATCAATTGGGACAGTGAGATCTGCATTCGTGTTTATTACAGGGACTGTGATAAACACAAATGCAGATCCCACTGTTCGGGTTGCATAAAAAAGTAAACTTTTTAATCCCAATGTTATATATATGATAGTGTTTTCTTTATATTATGAGTTTTCCTAAAATGTGTTTTGTTTTTTGTTTCTTTAAAGCGCAATATATCGCCTTGCTTAGTGTCGCTATACACCAATAAGTCATAAAATTCAATGTTATGCAGCCCCATATACAACAAACTGCGATGCACTGTGTGTGGCTGACACCTTTCTTTTAGAACCAGCATTAACTTTTTCAGCAATTTCAGCTACAGCAGCTCGTCTGTTGAATCGGACCACACAGGCTAGCCTTCGTTCCCCACATTCATCAGTGAGCCTTGGCTGCCATGACCCTGCTGCCTAATATATCCCACCAACTGACACGTGGCATGATAATGAGATAATGAGTTATGGCTGATCGATGTATATCAAGTCCTATAAGAATGGGACAGATCCTTGATTCAATTCCACGACACTGACAGAAGATGCAAGGAGTTGCATAGTGGTTTAACAATTGAAGAGACATCACAGGCTAACCAAAAAATATTAACAGTGGTAAAGTGCCAGGGCCTACCAACCTAAATTTTAAAAAACATTTCAAGAACTAGTCCCACTCCTAAATGTGTATGATGAATCCTAGCGAAATGAAATGCTGATCTTGAATCCAGGCAAACCCTCTACAGAGTGTTCCTCATTTATACCAATAAGTCTAATTGGCAAGCCTCAAAGTCATCCTACAAACAGTTTTTCAGTGGTTGCACAATAAATGGCAACATACAAATAACCCTAACCCTAAAATAAAAAAACAGCCAAATGATGAAATCAATGTGATGATAAAATAAGCTAGTACATTGCATAGCAACCACCTTGCACTATGTGCAGGCAACCAAGAGGGCCTATTTCTTTGTAAGAATAATGCTTTTGCAAAAACGCTTTGTGAACATCTTAACAAAAACAGTTTTAATTGGAATGTGTCTGTTACTTACTTGGTAATCATTTTATAAAAGTAATAGCTCACTCCACAACATGATATATTGTGATTATATCACAGCTACGGTGGTTGTCGGCCCTCCATGAACATTGTACATTGTTGTCATTATGGCACGACAGCATGTCTCAGCACATCTCTAAAAAAAAGTTTGTTCTGCTTTATTGCTGAAACATCATTGAATGATGTCTGATTGGATTTGTTTTTTTATGGGTTACAAGTTAAAATGGACTGGATCAGTTGGCGGCGCATGCTGACACAGCGGCCAGTATTTACTTCAAACTTAGTTCCATTTTTGTTTTAGTCAGTGTTTTTGGTTTTATTACTGAATGACAGTAATTGGAAAAGTAAGCCATGTTTGGATTAAAGAGCAGAGGACCCCAGCTAGAGAGCTGGGATAAAAGCCATGCTAACTCAGCTTGGCTTTAAGGCTGATCATGGCTAATGTACAATCTGGACTACATAAATATACATATACATATATACACACACACAAACCAATTTAAGAGGCAGACGACCAACTAGACTGTGAAGATAGTAGAGAGCAGACCACAGCTGCAGAGGCTCTGCTGGTAAAACTGACCACCACCCTGACACCTCCATACACTGACAGCTGCAGGCATCAACAAGGAAAGTGATTACACACACACACACACACACACACACACACACACACACAAGGGGGCCTGAGTATTCCAAAAAACAGCGGAGTGAAAAGGCATTTCCTGTTACTTCTCATGGTGTTTTTACACTAAAGGGGTCAGTATACTCCATCAGAACTGCTTGAGGGATGGTCGAATGGCTTCAGAAATCCCTTCCCTCCACACTTTTCCAGTATTGGATAAGGACCATTTTTGTAACTTTCTGAAATAATCTGACATTTACATTCACCTTTTGCTGTGTCAGCTGTGCAAAGGTGAGACAAGAGCCAGGATTTGAACTTCTCTCTATAGTTGTTACACAATCACTTGTCATGTGAACAAGAAAGGTCAACAATATGTCTTCTAGGAGACACTGTCTAAAAATATGTGCCCCCTTTCTATGACAGCCGGCTTTTCACCCCCGCTTTTCAGAGTGGTCGTTCAGAACAACTATAATCACCTCTGATTTCTAACATGGTTGGCCAACAAGTTGTACAAACTAGTTCTGATCGAGTATACCCGCCTCTAACACTGCACTCCATGATTCTGTTATTGTCCCCTGAGCTCCGTCCAACTGAACAGTTGTAATGATAGTCAGGTGAGGTTTGGGCCATTTCTACAAGTTGAGCCTTGTTGAGCCTAGTGATGGTGCTGCTGTTACTGCTACTACGGTTGATTCTATTACAATTGCTGTTGTAATTATTTATACAACCACAGCTATTATTTCTAATAATGCTACACTACTAAAGTTCTTACAACATCATCAACAGTGCTGGTACCACTATTGTTAATACTATTTTAGATATTACTAGTAGTACAACTACCAATACTGCATCTTCTAGTGACATTTGTATTATTGCTATACTTTGCTACAAACAAGATTATTCCCATCTACTACTACTGCTACTACCACTGCTAACACAGTAAGTACTACTAATAGTATTACTACCTCTGCTACTGCTATCCCCCATACTACCACTGCTGTTAAAGGATTATTCTGGTTTATGACAACTTGTCTTTTATTTTTGTAGTGTTGTCCGTAATTTTTATCAGCAATAATAACATTGTACTCACCAAGTTAAATACTGAGATGTGGGAACATGATGACATCACTAAAAAGAAATCCAAGTCAAGAAACATAAGCAGTCAGACAATCAGACAGGTTAATCTGATCTCAGCAATGAAAGTATGTCAGTGATTATGGTAAATGGACCTTTAATTATATAGCGCCTTTCTAGTCTTCCGACCGCTCAAAGCGCTCTTACATTACATGCCACATTCACCCTTTCATTTTTTTTTACATTTTAAGTACAGTATCAAGTAAGGGGTAGCAATGTCAGTACAGCTTTTACTGTTTATATGCAGTGAAATTTGTGCTGAAAAGGACAAAAAAGGAGAAAGAAAGGTCAGTTTGGGTGATTGTTTTGGTAGAGTTGTAGTCTCCATGGCCGACCTAAGATTACACTGATCATATCATCAGGGGTTATTTTTCTCAGATATGACAGCTCCTCCAGAGCCAATGGTAAGAATGTTATTATACCTTTACTTAAATATAAAATTAGCTTTGAATTAAATGTTTAATTGTTAACAAGTTACATTCCAATACTTATTATAATAATAATATAATATTTTCAAATATTATACATCAAATGTGAGGGACTATGCTTTGCTGTGCTCTTCAGTTAATAGAGCATATCACATGGAAAACTGTTCTGGACAGATTTCCTCTGTAGGGAGGAATCAGGACATCATAAAATTGTTTTCACAAGTTGAGTTGCACTAACCATGTCAAGTGAATTGATCTTGAATCTGTGGAGTGTCTACTTAATGAAATCAGGTCCCAGCTGAAATAAAAAAATAAAATAAAAAACTCCTGCATTAATGAACTACCACCACTACTACTACCACTGCAGTCCTAGTACTTATACTACTGCTGTTTTTATTGACGACTACTACTACTGCCACTACTACCACCTACTACCATATTTGCTTCCTATAATTGCGGCTTAACAAATTATGTTACTGTTTCTTCTATTACTACCACAGCTTTTTACCATGACTACTACTGCTTTATTTCTTCTCGTATTTATGGCGAAGAATGAACAGACTAAGCAAAGTGTCATGGCAGGAAGCTAGCTCACATGTATACAGACAGAACATAGTATCATTACAAACACACGTCATCAATATGGAGTAAAAACATCAACTGTGGAGTTTTACTGTTGGTTTTTTAGAATCTGCCTATCTGACTATTTCTGATCCAGTTCTGGCAATAAAATAGAGTTGGAGGTAAAGAAGAGCCATTTTGTAGCCGCCGTTGTTAGCTTACAGCCCTCCTTACAATTACACTGTCCAAAAACAGAAAGAGAGACAGAGCTATTTAGGAAAGGAGGGAAATAAATTATGTGGGGATAGAGAGATAAAGAGAGGAAAACTGTGATGCAGAAGAATAGACGAAAGAGGGGAACAGCTGTGTGAAGCAGAGTGGTCAGGGAAAACAAAGAGAGATAGAAAGTGAGAGTAATAGAGGGAAAATTATGGAACATTGATCGTCCATGTCTCTCTCACTGCAGTGGTAGTAAACAATCAGCCAGCCTCCTTTGTCCAAAGCACTAAACCACACCCCCCACCCCCCCTTTTGTCATGCGCTCCCTCCTCCATCCCTCTCACCCGCTCTCCCTCACCCTCAATTTCTCTCTTCCTCCATTTCTCTTGCTTTCAATAATCCTCCATTATTTCTCTTCTACAGTATGCCTGCATCTATCTTTCTATCAATCGTCTCTCTCTCTCACGCTGTAGAGCTGTGACGCTATGCTGTTAATGCTAACTAGCAGCTGCTGCTAATAGGCTAGCTAATGAAAGAGTGAGACAGACAGACAGACAGACAGACAGACAGACAGTGTAACAGGCAGATTCATACCTTGGCTGGTAGTAATCCACCCTGGATAAAAAAATGTAATCCAGTTAAAAAACCCACTACAGGATCTGATGGTAGCACGGCTACACACAGCTCTCTCTCTCTCACACACACACACACACACACTAGCTCATCCTCCTCTCTCTCACACTCTCATACTCTGCTCCTCCCCCTCCCCTCACACATACACACAGGCGTCGTCCTCTTCTGTTCTCTCTCTCTCTCTAA